CTATTCCCTGAAAAAACCCAGTGATATCACATAGAGGCTCTTGTGAGATCTTTAATGCCTGTAAAGCACAATCTCACATGCAGATCCTTACCTGAACATGCAATAAATCAGGCTTCCCTGGCTAGGACCCAGAGCTAACTGCAAGTTATAAAGTCAAGCACGTACTCATGGCGCCTATGAGTTAATTGCCTGAAGACCTGTAGCCAAGTGCTGATTGCACAGTCCGTTTCAGAGTGGGCCCTGGATATCTCACTGAGGTTGGGGTTTCCCCACATGAGGCTTGGTATTTTGAACACCTTGGATTTGAAGAAAGGGACAGGGTGGTTGGATCTGCTTCCTGTAAGCATCACTGTCTGTGAGAAGCAAATCTAATCTAAATCCATTTAAGATATTTTGTTATTCCTTGCCCCCCTGGCCTGGGGGCTTTGTATCCAGAAGTGAAGAGGTATAAAGTTACCTCTGTTATCCTGGAAGCACAGTAGAGACTCTCCTCCAGTGTCAGTTGCTTTGGAGGGGAGGGGAAGAGTCAGGCTGGCCATCTGTGTTTCATCCTTAAATCCCATTCCACTAACTAACTTAGTGGATACCTATGTTGTGCAACAGGAAGGAACAGGAGAAAGACTCTTGTTTGATAGTTATTCTTGCCCTGCTCCCAAAACTTCTAGGAGGTAGAAGCAGCAGCTGAGATTGCATGTTTCACCCCAGCAAAACGGTATGTAAATCGTTAAAGTTTCCCCTGTGTTCCTCTGCATCCAAGTACAAGGAGCCACACATGTTATTGCTCAGTCATTTAGGACATTTATTTCATATTAAGGAAAGCAACAAATGAAGAAAGAACGAATGCAACTTCATCTCAAGAAAAGCACATCGTGACAAGGAAAAAAAAATCTCCTATTTTACATTTCACCTTTTTCCCTTAGCATTAGTTCCTTGGTTTCTCTTCTTGCAGCAAATACTGACTATAGGAAGAATGTGAAGTTCTCCATTTTTGTTCCTGCTTCTGGCCATGCTCAGAGAATCGTGAATCCAGGACTACCGTGGATTTCACTCTCTACATATTTTGCAAGGGGCATGCTAACATCCTTGGAAACTATTGTGTGCTGCTCGGTCTGGGTGATTTAATTTTTTATTACATTAGATTTTATTACACCCCCTTGTAACGTTTGAGCTGATTAACAAAATGCATGCATATAGTGAACTACTAACACCCCCCTCCCCCCAATAAAACAGCAGCTTGCTTTGTCAAAGCAGGTAGAAAGAAGATTATTGCCCAGAGGATTAAAATAGTGTCATGGACACTTCTCTGTGCTCCCTACAGTAGCCCTGTAGCCTAGTCATTATATTGTTACTGCAAATCATCAGGAAAGGATAATTGGCAGAGTAGCAGAAAGCCAGAAATATTTGGTTATTCATTAATCAGAGGTGAAATCTTCCTTGTGGAAAGAGAAAATATATCAAGACAGCTTCAGCTCCATAGAAACAGAGAGTCATCACTGTAATGACTACTGGAGATGCTTTTATTGCAGGGATTGTTTTCAGCCTGAAGGCCATACTGCAAATGCATTGCACTTGTTTCTGATTTTATTCAGTGTACGAGGTTTTGGCATATTGTTTCTGCCGTCACCAGCGTGAAGAGCTTGAAAGCTGCTGGGTCACATAGGAAATGGACACGAGTCAACTGAGTGGGGCATGGTTTGATCTTGTTCATAAGGACATTTGTTGTCATTGTGAAGGCCCTTTTGGTATAGGTGTGAGGCACAGTGACCCCTGTTCAGCTGGAAAACAGTGGAGAAGTGCCTAATAGCAGCATGGCCAGTTAAATTCTAGTTGATTGACTATAGGGTCTGAGACGATGTGGTGACTGAGCGGTGCTTGTGCTGACCATTCTTCATGCCACCAAGCAAGGAAAAGTCAAAAGGTTTTGGAAGGGTGGACCATAATAAATGGCTCCTCTCAAGACATCCATCAGTGGGTGGAATATGTCCCAATACACTGTCAGTGTAGGGTTACCACGGAGTCTGGCTAGTACGTTTACTTCAGCATGTGTGCAGCAGAGGTGAAGGGGAGTAATGTTACTCAGGACTGGTGACCATGGGAGTGGAGTGGGGCACAATATGCCTGACACAGACTAGCAGAGAAATTCAGTCAAACTTATTTGTGATGCCCATGTAAGAGGATCCACCACTCGTTACCACTGGGAAAACTCAGCGAAGGCCACAGACGGAAGGTCCCCAAACAGCACGAATGAGTGCAGTAAAGACTGCATTTGCCAGTGGTGAAGGAAAGAGCATCTAATTTAAGAGCAGTCCTGACTTGGTGTCATTCTTCACAGCTCCAAAGTGAGTCACAGGAGGACTCGAGGATATAAACCCATTAGCCAAAAGACAGCAGAGCTGTACACTGGGAGCTCGACCCCCCAGGATTGTGCACTTGCTGGCGTTTGGACTTGATCGTTATTGCATGAATTGCACTCAGGTAGCAGAGAGGAAAGGTGCCTCTAAGGGCAAATCATAATTTTCAAACCATCGTCAAGAAGCTGCCATATCTATGTTTTTTGCAGCTTGAAAACTGTGGTTGTCTCCAGAATTACTCTCATGAGGGACTCTGAGGTGTTGACAAATGTCAGGTGCTCTACGCTGACACCTGTAAGGGCTTTATCTTGTGGCAGGACAACTTAGCCAGGATCTCATCTAAGTTTGGAGGAAGAGGACATCCCATGGGCTCATGCTTTCAGACGGCTGATCACACTGAGCAAAGGTCTTACTGTATGAGCAAAGCAGGGACACTTTGTGTTTCATATTTCAGATGGTCACTGTGGGCAGTGCTATTTTGACCGGATCCCTTTTTGGTGTCTCCCTCACCACCACTATTGCCAAAAGCTTTGGTGGTGTTGTGAGTGGATTCAGTTAGACTGAAATCCTGCAGTCACATCTGCAAAGGCTTTTCTTCAAATAGTGAGTCCTGAATGTGGAAGTATTTGTACGCTTGACAGGCAAGGAGAAGGATACTCTCAGATTTAACAGTTATCTTGCTTCCATATTAATAGGCTGGAGGCCGGCAGAGAAATTCAGTCAGACTTGGAGACTGCTTAGGAACTGCTTATGTTCTGGATTGAACCATCACACTCCAGACATTTTTACAGATTTATTAATAAATCATAAGCAGAAAGCTTCCCAAACATCACCATTTATTTCCAAAAGCCTGATGCAGCTCCTACAAATAATTTTTTAGACATATAAATAAAAGTTATCATGAATACTCTCTGACAGGTTTTGGAACGCAACCCCTGTACAGTATGCTTCTTTCCTGAAGACAGCACTTACATTTAAGTTATTGCATGAGACTATCTCCCTTGAGGACTTTAAAGAGCTCACCATTAAAACTTACAGCACTCAGCTAGGCAGCTGGTCACATCTCTGGGAAGGGGCATGGACATTTCTCCTTGCTGTAGAATAATATGCAAGCGGATGCCCCCATACCGTGCATCTCACTGAGGTTGGGCCAACGTTTCTGTTCTTAGCCATAACCCCAAAGGGGATGGCGTTGCAACCACAGCAGCCTGCTGCAGCAAGACACCCCATTTTTCAACTTTTAAATTAGCGTCGTTATCTGAACAGTAAGTATAATGGGGAAAAGCACGGAGAGGCAGAGTCAGCAACCTTCAGATATTGCACAAGGAGCTTAAGAAGGCAGTTTAGTAAAGCCTACAACTGCACTGAGATGCAAGTTGATTCGTCAGAGCTAGCATGAAAAAAATGGGTAGATTTGCTTTCCAATCTGTAATCGAAGATGATTAATGCACCAAAGTCTTTTGCTTAAAAGAAATGGGAATTTAGTTATAGTAACACAGGTGTGTATTAAGGGGTTGTCTGTGTACTTTCTAATAGAACAGAATTTTTCGTCTGGTAGGGATGTTTTGTTGGATTTGTTTTAATCTTTCAGAAGAATCACATACCACAGAGCTGATTCACAGTGCTGACATGCAGTCAGGTCTCATTTTGAGTTGTGCTGTGCATCCACGTATCTAGATAGGGAGAGCTGCAGATACTCAGTACTTCTGAAAATGAGGCCTCAGAGCCACAGGTTACAGCTTAGAGTCTGGTACCTGAAAATAAGGCTGTTGCTGTAAACATTATACATTGCAATGCTGCACAGGTTGCACACACTGGATTTTGCTTTTGCCTTTTCATTGCTAGATGTCAAAATACGTACATGGCATATATTACATGGTAAGATGATGCCCGTTAAGCTTGTTACATTTTCTGTGGGGTTCAGGCCTTTGAGACAAAGATGAAATGCACCTTTGCCAGGCCTTGAGGGTCTATCTGAAAATGAGTTTTGTAGCAAGGTTGTTTGCAATACATTACTTTCTGATTTTATTTTTCATAAAACCCATAAATGTTTCTAGGTACATTTATTGAAACTGGCATGTGTTTGATTGGGGGAGAAAAATATTTTAAAGTGCAGTTTCAAGAAGCCCACGTTCCCAGTAACGAAAGCCAGGATAATCTTAAATATCAGCTTGTATTTAAAAAAACCGAAATGTTCAGAATCAGCTTTGCTTGCAAGTTGTATCTCTGAATCTGAATCCTTCCACACCACAAACAGCCCTGTGGCAGAAGGAACAATTCTTCCTTTGTTCAAGGCAGGAAACTGAGGTCCAGAGAGACCGACGGACTTCACAAGGTCACAGATGCATTTGATAGGATGGTGAATTGAATCGGGCTCTCTCGCATGCAGCTCCTTAAATCAAAAAAAATCATTGTTCCTCCCCTGTCGTTGCTGGGGTGTGCCATCACATACAGATTCTTGTCCCTACGCCCAGCAGGAAGCTGATAGAGACTTTACTTTTCTTCTTTCTTGTTTTATTATTCTCTGGGATATTTGGAGTCTAAAGGCTAATGTCCTAGATGGTTTGGAAACACAGCAATGGCTATACTAGTCAAACAGAGCAGACCCCAGCCTGGGACTGGAAGCTGCTAGTTTTCCCATTTTGCTACTCAATGGATATGCTTTGAGATACTTTCTGCCACTGGAAACTCTCTCCTGTTGGGTGTAGACTTCAAGCCTGTTTGCACCTTCTTGTTGGTCAGGATAATCACCAGTGGGCCGATGGCCGAGTAGCAGGAAGCAAAGAACATCTGAGCATCAACAAGCCTCATTGAGCCTGGGGCCACACACAGGGTAAAGATCCAGAAGATGCTATCCATCCCAAAGCTGAAAAGATACAGGACTAACAGGGCCACCACGGCTTTGGCTGCCTGGATCTCTGCATGCTTCACGTGCAACCCTGGTAGGTGTTTTGCTTGCTTCCCATGCTGATAAAACATATACAGAAGGTAGCAGCTGGAAAGAGTCATTGCCCCAAGGAAGAACAAGTCCCTGATGACCAACACCAGCCTATTTCCCAGGTAAAAGTAGCGGGTGGGGAACATCACATAGCAGAAGTTGTAAAGCTCGGTGCAATTTCCAAGAGTGGAGGAGTTTTCATCACCCTGGGCAGAGCCGTAAGTCAGACGGGTGCTACACACAAAGAGGTTGAAGCACCACAGGGAAATCATGATGGAAGAGAGATTTTTCAACAGGCTCTCTCTCCAATGCAGCCACCTGCAAGGGAAGGGGATGATGAGGAGACACTGGAAACAGCCCAGCAGGGAGGTGACACAGATGGTCATGGCTCTTCCTACACAATAAACATAAAGGATAATTTTGCACCCCAGGTTGTTGAACACGTTCTGGGTCCAAAATGTTTTGAGCGTGAAGGGAATCCCCTGGCTCAGGATCACCAGGAGGTTGGAAAGGGCGAGTTTGCTCAGGATGATTTCCGAGAGCGTGACTTTCCGGTGGCACGCTAACGTGTGAACGAAGGCATAGAGGATGACCACATTCCCTGGGATCCCGACCATGTCCAGGAAAATGAAGCCAAGTATGTCAAAGATGAACTGGGCCCCCATCAGTCTGGCAGGTGGAAGAACACAATTGCGTGTGCGTATTCTGCAAGGCAACGGCACCGTGCATTAGAAACTGAAGAACTACAAGGTTAGCAAGGCATGCATTTGGCACAACTAAAGGAAGGTGACTTATTCGTGCTACTGGTTCATGGAGTTGCTTCTTTAATTTGTGCATTAAAACTCAGGTTGAGGTTCAGTCCTGAAGGTTGTGGGTTCAAGCTTGGATGCAGGTCCTCAGGGGGACAGTGCATAACCTAAATTCAGACAGACTTTGATCTGCTTAACTGTTAGCAGAAAATGCTTTCAGCTCTCAGTAGCAGTGGTCACCAGGTGAGAAAATAGCAGGAATCATCATTCAGAAAAGGCTTGAACCTCTCTCTTAGTTGGGAGCCTTATTATGTGTCGGACATAATGCCAACACCCACCTGGCACAATTAATTAATGCAATCTGTATGCAGATTCTTGCAGAGTGCTAACCACCACAGACTGAAATAGAGCATGCAACTGTCAAATAAATGATCATCTCCATAGCACTCTAATGAGTTAAATTCACATCACAGCCCTGAAAGGCAACTGAGATTATCCTCATGGCTCTTATGGGGAATGAGCATTGGTGAGCCAGAGTGACTGGTTCACAGCCATTGAGTGAGAGGGGAATCCTCCTCCACTCCCTCTTTCAGCACATGCTGCCTCATCCCGACAGCCGTTTCTGCACAAGGGAATATATTCCTTCCAGCTGTTGTTTGAACACCTGCCAAGCGAAGATCAAAGCCTGTGTGTAAGTCTCTTAGCATACCGACATGGTTTGAGGAGTGGGCGAGCAGCTAGATCCTGTGAAATCTGAAAACAGTTGTGTCAGGAACAGGACTTTGAACTGAATCAAAAGGGATTAAGGTGTATTGTTTAATGATGAAGGTAAAAAGCTCCAGAGCAAACATGAGAATGCACTCACTAAAACCCTTAGACACAATAGCCTGGGCTTTGCTAATATTCTTGCAAAGACAGACATGATAGGCAGAAATGTTTCAGGTTGTTCCAGTGCAGAGAGTCAAGTTTCTGCAGGAAACGTGCTATTTTAGTATGTCTGCCTCCATCTTCTTACCCAGCAACACCAATTTCAAGAAGGTTAATTTACCAGAGCTGGAGCAACCGTATGCAAAGATAGCACAAGCTGCCGAAATGGCATTCAGATCCTCAGAGGTAAGAGTTCATTATAGTAATTTTCAGATAACTCGGATGAATACAAAAGAAGCAAACACCGAATCTGGTGTTTGAGGAAGGAGGGAGGCATTTGAAAAATACTAAAAAAAAAAAAGATCTACGTAAGGTTTAAAAACGAAAACATCCCCAAACATAATGTTTTAGTGTACAGAGCACAGTTAAGGATATGTGCACAAGCATAAAGTTCCCTGGGCCTTCCACAACCAAATGCTTTGCAGCACACACGTTGTAGCAGCAGAGGACAAATATGTACACAGTACATGTTATGCATATCGGACGCTAATACCAGCATCCAGTAATGGTTCTAACAATGTCTTCCTTAATGTAGAATAGATATTCACAGCATCTTATATAGATGCTCCCACTGCATTAACACAGATATTTTGTAATTATGGTGGGGGAGGGATGTTGAAGAGGCCTTAGCTTTGTTTAAGTTAGTGATTTGGCCTTGCTGTGCACAGAGCTTCCAGGTGCCTTTCCATCAAAAAGTACTCTGTAGATTACTGGTAAAAGGAACAACCATGACTAGGTATAGGAATACACCCCTCTTTATTGCATCCTGAATGCTTTAAATGTCCAAGAGTTGTAGACCTGCCCCCTTGTGAGAAGGCAGCATAGCTCAGAGTATAGCTTAAAGGCCCACGTCAAAATACTTGAGTCCCTTCCACTTCTGTTTAAATCTTAAGAGTTGAGGAGGACACTCAATATCTTGTACCAGGATTGGATCCATGTGTGTGTGTGTGTGTGTGTGTGTGTGTGTGTGTGTGTACGCCAATAACATTCTTGCTTGTGTTAGAAAAAATAGTATTCAAAATGGTCAGAGCCTGTTCAAGAAAGGCTGTATGGACTCTGAAAACAGGACATGCATGTGAGTTCCCTGACAGCCACAATATTCAATGCAATATTTAATATTATTCTACAATACCTGTCTCTCTAGGAAATGATAAAGAGGCTCTTGTTTCATTTATCTCTTCCTCCTCATGAGTTCCAGCTGTGAGAATGGAGCCTGAACAAGACAGGTTCCTCTTTATATTCCCTCCCCCACTCCCACCCCAGGTAATTCCACCGAGAGTTCAAGTGTGAGGTATTAATCCCACGTACTCTGTTATGTGGGCGTAGTTGGATCGATGCCCGGGCCAGATGATAGTTCAGATAATTCAAATACTGTAGTTAGTTTCCGTTTTATTTTAACTTAAAAAAAAGTTAAAAAAAATCAAATGCCACATTTAAATCTACAACCAGCTGGCAAATGCCCATGCAAGGCAGAGAGCAGAGATGTCATGGCTTGTGAATCACAGGAACAGAACTAGTAATCTTTTGCATCCAGAGGTCCTGTCCATCCCACAGCTTTGTTCTTTTGGTTGTACATAGGAACATGCCGTGCCCTTTCATTGAGGGCTGTTCTAGCTTCCTCCTGATGTATTAAGCGACTCTGCAGCATCTAGTGCTGAATAGGAAAAGGGCAAGATGATACCGCATTACCCTATAGGAACACGAAAGGAGATTCCAGAGCCCAAGGTGAGCAGAGAGATCTTGGTTAAACATGTACAAGACGTTTCTTGGGGGGCAGCTGGAGAAGCAGCATTTGGATGAGAATCAACTTTTCAGAATCGTTTCTGCAACTTGCTTTGGACAACGTGCACATATGAAAGTAATTGAACTCTTAGTCCAGGTTCTTAGAGACAACTATAGCCAGACATGGACTATGTTTTAAAAGAGTTTGTACTCCTAACACTGGGATACTAATACTCCAATCTGTCTTCTGTGACACGGAATTTAATTCTCATCTGCTCACAGAGGAAGCTGTGAGGCAAAGACTTGATAGAGTCCAAACCTGAGATCATGCTTCCAACTTTCGTTCAGACTAGCATGTGCCACTCGTGTTGTTGAGGTGGGGAAGAGGTCTGCTGTTTAGTTGCTATTAGGAGAACATTTGGGTTTGCAAACATGTTGCTTACTTCCTTTTTCTAAGCATGTATCTAAGAAGGCAGCTATTTTTATGTATTTTGTGGTAGTATCTAGGAACCCTGCGGAGGGGGCAGGACTGAGGAATAGCTGGGAATTTCATAGCTTTTACTGTAAAAGCTAAAATAATCTTGTACTATTTTTTCCACCCCATGGGCATTTCAATGTCTTGTAACGTCGATCGTCTTATCCAACATTGTAAAGATAACATTTTAGCTCTCAACTTTCTAGTAAAGCAGGGCATCACCACTTGCACGTTAATTATGAGAGGTAATTTTAAAAAGAACGTGGAAACCCCCAAAATGTTTAGATGCTAACGAACAGCAAAAGCTAGTTCATTTATTTACACAGTGGCCTGCATTAATCAGGTCCTTTTCTCACTTCTGTCTGTTGGAATATGCAGCTCTTTCTATGACTTTGGTTGTATCATGAAAACAACAGTAAATGGTTAATTCTATTATCCAAAGGTCTTGGCAACAGATTTTGCATGTTCTCCTTACCCTTGGTCAATTAAATTCAATGGGCTAAGTGGCAATCATTAATTAAAAATGCTATGGGATCATGTAATTAGCTCCTAATAAACACATGCTGCTAATTAAGCTGTTGGATGGTACATTTACTCTAGAGCTTAATTAAGTCTCTCTAAATAAATCTAAATAGTGTTTCTCTTCTGATGCCACTCTGTTTGCGGAGGCCTATCTTTCAGGGGCAAGCCCTGACTTGCAAGATGGATGCTTATTTATGAAGAACAAGCTTGCTCAGTTTAGCTTCTTTTTTTTTTTTTGGAGGGGGGGCAGAAAATGCCATTGCAACCTGAATCAGTGCATTAAAGAGTCACTGAAGCTTGGACTAGATGAATATCTCTTAGGTGCTGAGAAGGTTTCATTTCAATGCTATTAAAACAACCCTTGCTGAAGAAATGCTAACATCCATAGTGCTTGACCTCCTGTGGAAAATGCTAAGATAGTTTTCAGCGCTGCGTGTGTTTGCATCCATTATCAATCTCTACCCTACCTGCACAGATCGTTAATACAGAGTTCGTTGTCTCTAGCACCTTTGAAGCACCAGCCATTTCAAAGTCCATTACAAAGCAAGGTGTTAAAGGTATCTGGCCTAATGATTGCATAGCTAATTGGACAATGTCTGACACAGAGTCATAGTTCACACAGTCAGAGGGACTATTGGCCAGGATTTGGGGTTATTGGGAGATAAATTAGGTAGTGATTTGAGGGCCGATTAACTTTCACCTGGTCTGCGACCTTTTCCTTGCAAGCAGAAATACGTATGCTATCTATATGTTTCTATCTATTTTCATTCAAAAACTATTATCAGTATTTAGCACTTTATCTTGATTTTGGTTATTGGTATGCATTAACTCAGGGCAAAAGTAGACTCCAGGTCAAAGTTTTTATATTTTCAAATGAAAAATGGCGTAGCACGCCAACAGGTAAAATTCTTGTAAAGTTTAGCTTCCAAAATCAACTTTCTCTGGAAAACTCTCTGAGCTTCCTGCAGAATCTGTAGCTGTACTGGAAAAACTGTTTTTTTTTCCAAATTCCCCATAATTGGCATTTTTCTAACAAGTTCCTTCTTGAGCCCAAATCCTGGGAAATTGCTGCTGCTGTGGGGTGAATCGTGAAGGAGGAGGACTTGGCAATATAGGTTGCAGTATTCCTCAAGTTCTTTTCGGTGCAAGAGTTTAACTTCCACGATCTCTCACTGACCCAGTATAAATGTCCCTGACAGGGTTTACAGCACATGGCCAAACACAGTTTACACTCATGCCTAGAGTGGACCCATTGCAGCAAGTTCAGTTT